GTCTGTAATAAATCAGTGATGCAAGTATGTATTAGTAATTAAATATATTAAAGTATCGATCCTAAAGGGGAGATACCAGAACTTGGTTCCCAATATCTCTTTGAATTATTCTTAGTGAATAAACTATTTTATCTTTGTAAATACATTATCGGTGGTAGTATCTAGTACAATACTCCAGTCATCGTATATTAGCCAAGCGAGTGAAGATTGATAGTAAAGACCCACAAATACATGGTAGTTTAGATAACTCTATAACACTTAAATATTGTGATTTGTTTTTTGACCAATTAGACCATTCTATAAGTCATTGTTTGAGAACAACTTTAGCGAGATAATTGATCAGAAATGACATCATTGTCAGGCAATTCTTAAATGTGTACTAGGTTGATAGCACATTACCCAGTGTTACAGCTTATCTTGGTACTACCATGTACTGGTGGGTCTTTACTATAAGTCTTTACTCACTTGGCTAATATCTTTGAAGACTGTGTATCGTACAGGTCCTTCCACCGATTATAATATGCTCACATGGTAATGGTTTATTCACTAAGGTTGTTTATACTAAGTAAGTTCAAAGCTTCCAACTTCAAAAGCTAAAAAGCTCAAATTTTAAAAGCTAGGTCGGGATCGATACCTTATATTAATTACTAATTGCTATTTGCATCACTGATTATTACATATTATCTTATCGCTCATGCAATCGCTATTATTACTAATTGCTAATTATTACTACATTGTTCATGCAATCACTAATCTAACTTTTAATTAATTCCATGTAACCCCGAATCACACCATTCATGCAAATTGGGATCATGACCCAATCATGATCCCTGACTCTTGCGCTATGAATATCCAGGCACCAACGTCAACCACGACACCCAGCCACAATGATCTCTTTGTTTCAATATATATATATATATATTTGATGAAAGCTTCCACCATGTATTTCATCTGAAGACAAAACAGAAATAATATAATTTTTAAAATTTTTAGTTCATTCATTATAAAAAGTTACCATTATAAAGGGTGTTGACCATTATATTACAGTAATTTTGGAAGTATGTAAGGCTAACAGAACTTATAAAATTTGGTTTTAAAAGTGAAATGTCTTTAACATTAAGGAAACTATTATTGTTCTTTTTTAAAGATACGATTCAGCATAGATTATAATAAAAGTTTTTCTTCATTTAATGAATAAGTTATATACAGTAGTATGTAGTGATATGCTATTTATATGATACCTGAAAAATTTTAGCGTACAGTATGTACAGTACCAGTTGATCGAGATATTATGCAGATCAGGTAAATAAATTTTTTACTATGAAATTTGAGTGATTGACACTCATATAAGAAATCTGATTTTCATAGTAAATTGCAACAGTTAGCCATTTTTAATTATTGTTTTCAGGAGTTTCCTAAAAGGAAACCACACTCACAGGATGTAGTGAGTATTCAGAAAGCTAAATATTATGCGATGGGTAAGTTTAAAGTGAGATAAAAAAAGTAAAACTAAAAGAATCTTGCTCATAAAGATAACCTTTTGTTTCATATTCTATAACACCTTGCAGTACAATAGATCTTAACATTTCGCTAATTAATAAAGGTATTTTTATTTAATATAAATATTTTTAACAACTTTACTCCAATTTTAAAAACTTTTCAACAAAAAAAGAACAAAGTACTAAAATATTTTTTATTGTCAAAGACTAACTAAAGATTTAAGTAGAAAAATTATTATTGTAACTACTTATACTATGTGAACTTAGTTTAGTTATATTATACAAATAGTTGACAAACATGTATTACTGTATTAATAAAAGACTATAGTGTATAAAATTTGATTTTATTGAAAATAGTATTACTATATATACTGTATTTTTATTATTTACTAGTTGTATAAATAAGAAAAGAGATGAATTTGCAAAAAAATAATGAACACAAAAAATCAATTATCTCATAAACTATTGATTGAAATGAATTGAATAGTACCAAAATTATATAATTCTGATCAATAGTTTATGAGATAATTGATTTTTTGTATCTGTTATTTTTTTTTGCAAATTTGTCTCTTTTCTTAGCACCAAGCCCATATTATAAATTCCTGTAAAGCATTGTTGGTATAATAAATTACAATACAGCAAAAGTGTAAACAATAGAAAATATAATTTTACTGTGAATATAGGTTTCTATATATTAAAAAAAAGAAAAAACTTATTAGCAAAATTGTAATCTATATACTATAAAATAAGTTTTCTTAATTTACTCTATATTTTTATAAGATATCCTTCTTTCAAAGATTATTTCACAGAAAGTTCTCATTTATGCGTATCTAACAAGCTATTTTTTATATCAAGATCTTGAAAACTCTAAAAAAATCTTGTAAAAGAAGGCAAAATAATTGCCCATCTTTGAAGAAGTCTTATATTACCTAGTAATGTTAGTTTTTTATATTATTTATGTCATTTGTTTTATTGAAATGCTGGCAACATTTGTTTTAAAAAGCATTATATGTTGTGACTAAGACTTGGGAAAAAAATTTTTAAAATGTAATTTCATCAATTTGTATAATTTATAAAAATTATATGATAAAAAATTAGGTATAAAATCTCAATCAACTAGTACATACTGTATATATAGTTCTTTTCTGGCATCTGATTGGCTAGAACAAGTGATTAGCAAAAATTTTAGCATATAGTACATACAGTACTGGGGTATTTCATATACTAATTAATCAAACATATGCGAGGTATTATAATAAAAATTAATAGTACAGATTTTATACATAGATCGGCAAAATTGATAAATTACTACAGTCAAACCTTTCTAAATGCAATGTGTACAGACCAGCTTCAATCGTGCATTTAGAGAGGTTTGTATTTAGAGAAAGCCAATCAAATTGCAGCTTTTAATACTTGGTCTGCAGGCTTGTATAACACAACTTGAATACTAAATTCTGATTGGCTACGTGCATTTAAGGAGGTAGTATAATATAGAAAATCTTTTGAGTAAATGTGCATTTGCAAAATATAGAACGTGTATTTAGTACTAATGATTTCTTATAGCCAGGCCAGAAACATGCATTAAAAAGGTATTGTATTTATAGAAGTTAAATTTATAGAGGTTTGACTGTAGTAAAACATTAGTAATTTAAAAATTGATTCATCTCATATACTAGTAATTTTTTTGTGACAATTTTTACGGCAAATAATAATTATAATATAGTAAAGAAAAGTTACAAACTTAAAATTTTAATTAATTAAAAATTATTTAATTATTACTTAGTAAAATTAATCTAAAAAATGAATTTTATAATTAATTTATTTATATAAATAAAAATTTAAGCTTGTAACTTTTTTTACAATATTATAACTATTATTTGCTGCGAAAATTGTCACAAAAAAATTACTAGTACATGAGGTGAATCAATTTTTAAATTACTAATATTTTATTGCTAATTTATATATAAAATCTGTACTATTGATTTTTACTATAATACCTCACATATGTTTAATTAATTAATATATGAAATACCCCAATACTGTATATATAGTACTGTATGCAGCACATCACTAGTAGTACGTGTTTATTTAAGATTTATTATCATACTTTTAAAGCCAATATTTTTCTTATTACGTATTTTATTAAAAACTTTAACGTTCTAGTCTTTAAAATTTTTGAAAATTATAATTTATAAAAATTAAAAAATAAAGAAATTCGAGTATTTTTTTTTGAATTCAAAACAGTAATATTAAAAGCTAAAAAACATGAAAAAAATTGAAGGACAACATGCTTTTTTGAAATAACAAGAATGTGATTCGAGAGAAATAATGTTAAAAAAAGAGATTTTTGTTCTACTAAAATTTAAAATTTTATTATTGTTATCATTAGAATTTTTCAATTGGCGCAAACTATTATGACTGATTAACCTTAGGTGCTATACAAAAGCAGATCCTTGATTTTGATTAGCTAATGCTGAGGATTTTCAAAATATTGCCCGAATTAAATAATTGTTTACCAATTTCCGGCTAGAATTAACTTCTTAATTTTTTCATTATAAAAATAGAAATTTTTTAAAAAATAATTTCAAGTTATAGTCAAATTGGCCCAGGAACAATTTTCACTTAATAGGTGGCTGCAATTTAATTAGTAAAATTATGAGTAATTCTGGTCTAATTTTTGATCATTGCTCTTAGCCAATTAAAATTAAGGATTTGCCATGCATTTTTTATATGTTACCTAGGTTCAATTTATAACTAACTAAATAATGTGCCACTAACCTGGCATATATTCAAAAATTGTGTTTTAGATATCTGATATTATACTGCAGTTATAGTATTGCATTACAATATTGTGTTATTGCAGTATTACGACATTACAGCATTATGGTATATAATTTTTATAGCAATTAGATTCTATGCTGTAATTCAGTAATTTTATTACCATCTATAATTGAACCTAGGTGCTATACAAAAAATGCGCAGCAGATCCTCAATTTTGATTGGCTAAGAGCATTGATCAAAACATTAGGCTAGAATTACTCATAATTTTACTAATAAAATCACAGCCGCCTATTAAGTGAAAATTGTTTCTGGGCAAATTTTATCATAGTGTGAGCTTATTTTTTAAATATTTCTATTTTTGTAATAAAAAAATTATAAAGTTAATTTTGGCCAGAAATTAGAAAACAATTACCGTAAAAATCGGACCCAGGTACCCCTCCATGCCGTGTACCCTCCGCCAGTTTCAAGAGCTAGATGGTGATTTATACCCGGGTACACATGTATTATGGCAGGTAGATATAGTAAAACATATTGACTCTATACAGTGTACCCCCCTATATAGAAGTACCCCGGATACAAATTTAAATTATGAAAATACCCGGGGTACCTGGGTCCGATTTTTACGGTATTAAATTTTATTTTTATTTTTTTACAGCTCGTTCTGCATGGTCACGGGCAATAGTCCCCTTTGAAGTTGGTGACATCTCGGATGAAGAAGCCATGGAATTTTTGCGAGACTCTGGTATTGATAAAAAAAGCGCCGAGGATGCAGTGAAATATCTGACGGGTGGACGGTTTACTTTATTGAAGAATTTTCTAGTGATGAGACAATTTTACGCCAATCCTAAAATTTTGTTTAATGGTATTGCAATCTTGGTTTTTTAACATAAACAGCATGTTTTCATCTAACATTCCTACTTTTATCAGCATTCAAGAAGAAAATGTTCACGCAGTTTGAGAGAGATTTGGACACAGTGAACCTTCCTATAAACCATAAATTTTTCGTAAAGCTCATGGAAGTACATCGTATTCACATCACACAAGCTAAAACCATTATTCCTCTCAACATGATTCGTAAGCTTGTCGAAGCTAATATTATCAAAGAACATCAGGACTACACTGTTTCTTTTCATTCACGTTTTATAGAAACCTACATTAAAGAGGTAATTCTTACCGATAATATTGCGATTTAATTCATAAAATCCTAACATTAATCAACTTGCTTTAGGTAAACAAATCCTAGTTCGTTTATTTTGTAGCAAAAAGATTTTAATAATGTAGCAAATAAGAGGAGAAACAAACCGTGAATTAGTTTTAACACGAACCAGGAAAAATGAATTATGGAAATTCATTTAAAATTTTAGTCTATATTAATATTTTAGTAATAAATGTTTGTCATATACTCTGCTGATACATATTACCTAATTGCATCGGTTAACTGATTATGTATTAAGACAAATACACAAAGCCCCCTTTTCAAAAGAACCAAATGTCTTCATCTGAGCATAGTTAGATCGAAGCTTTATTTAAGGGTAGAGTATACTAATACTTTTAATTAGATGTAACTATGTTTCAGAATGGGCCAGGTTGGGCTAGGTTTTTTTAAATTTAAGCCCAAATCTAAAGAAATTTTATAAACCCAAGCCTGAGCCTAGCTCAGTAAAAAGTTATAGGTTTTGGGCATTCAAATTACTTCAAACTATGCCTAGCCCAATCTAATCTAACCCGGTCTTGTAATTATATGTATAAAAGTAAATGCCTCTAACATGCTTTTGTAGTTTTTTTTTTTTTTAATAATCATATACTGTATAGATTCTTTTATATAATCATTATCTCTCTATCTATAATTTGTTGTATCTAAATTATATAACTTATGTTATACTGTACTTTATTTGCTACTTTTATTACAATATATATGTTTTTGTAACTTATTAAATAAATTAGATTTTAGGGGAATTTACAAATAAGGGCCTGGAAAGTGAAAATAATTACAAATACGGGCCCAAATTAAAAATAATTAC